GCAGCATTTACTGCCATCTCATTATGTCTGAACAAATATAAAAGTTCTGAAAATTTGCTGGCTTGGTTTATTGCTTTCAGAGAAACGATGAAAAAGGCCAAAAAATCCCTTAGAAAAGCCTTTCATCAATCGAGCAGTAACAACAGAGAAGGGAAACAACCAGGCAATGATGTCCCAAAAGGTGATGTTAGGGAAGACAGTGCTGAAAACAAGGTTAGTTTGTTTAGTCTTGAACAGTAAACAGGTAACTTTAATGAACCATTTACTCATCATTTGGTTTGTGCTAAATCAGGATTGAAAGAGATACTTACTGGTTCTGATTTATTATCTACCAAGGTGCTGTGGTTTAGATGATTTTGAATAATTTTCAGGGGGTAAGGGGTGTGGAGGTTATAGCCTTTAGTGTAGATGTGATGAGACAGATTAAATTAACTGAAGTGTGTGTTAATCTGAAAATTATTGTTAATTTAGTTGAATAGCAAACTACTCATTTTACACAATCACAGCTTTGGCTCAGCATCATTGGGTGTTCTGATTAAAATGACAATAAAGCTTTGGATCAAAGTCAGTTTCTTAGCAACTGTGCACCTACATGTACCCCTCCCCTCCCCTCACTCTCTAATAACCCTCAGTAACTTGTTATCAGACTGAGTTGACTGATGTTGGATTAGGGGAGGGGTAGGTACACAGGTACTCAAATACTGACATTGATCCAAAGTGTTCCATGTGTATAAGCTTTCAAAAAGCAAAACTTCGTTTGGTGACTAATTACAAGTGTATTTATTTTATTTATTCATATAACTCAGAACAGATGTGAGTAATATTGGCATGGAGATCGAATTTTTCATTCACTATAAGCTTCAAAACTTCAATTAAAATTTAGTGGAAAAGCTATATGTGCATACTAGGTAAATTTCTTATTTCTTTGATATACTAGTAGTCACAAGCAGGTTTGTATTTATTTATTTTCGCTTGATGATCATTAAATGTTTTTTTTTGTCTATATTTTCCAATCAATTTTCAAGTTCTTCTTTCATAGGCTGAGGCTGAAGAACTGACTGACTTGGACAAGTTGTATATTGCCTTGGCTGAAGTTGGTCGTAGAAACCTCTTTGATCTGCTTTGCTACGGTATCAATATTACGAGCTTAGACGCCTTACAGAAGTACACTGCAGAGGACAGCACATCTGCTTACATCTGTGACAAGATAAAATCTCTCCTTGAGGGCAAAGATTTCAATTTCAAGGAACTTGTACAGGTAACGTAAAAGAAAATGTTTTAGCTTTTCTTTAGTTATAAAATATGACATGAAAATTGCACGTACATTGAGTTTTGATATCTGACCATTACATCGTGTGCTAATTTTTGTACACAGTGCTTGCAAGTTATTTCACCTCTAGAAACCCTTTTAAGCCCAGCTGCGCTACGTCGGTTTGGACATATTTTAACTGTATCCTTGCTGTAAACTTTGGCTTTCGCTTGCGAGCCTTAGCCAGACAGCACAATATTTGAGAGGGTCAGCGGTGTATTTAACATAGAAGGGGTGGGGATTTGACTCTTTTTGGATGTCAGATTCGGGGCACGCGCAATTTGGCTTTTTCACCATATAACGTCACGTTGATTTGCAGGTAATTTTGGTGTTAACAACTGAGTTGAAAACGTAAATTGGCCACCGTAAAGAGTTTCGAGGCTGACGTTTCGAGCGTTAGCTAGAGCGATTGGAGAAATTGTGGGTTGTGTGTGGGTTTACATGCAGAAAATGGAGCTTACGCTTGTGGTGGGAATATGGTGACGAGAAAACAAGAATAAGTTAGGCGAATTAAAAGCGCTCGTTGATACCGTGGGGATTAAGAGAGTCGATTTGGAAGATAAATTTTTGTTCTGGTGTTTGCGGCTTTCCGAACTGCCTATATGTAGGAAAAGCCGCAAACTTTCTTTCTACGTCGGGAAGGTGTTCTTGGAATCGGTCACCTAGTCGTTTTCCTGTTTCACCAATGTAGAACTTTTTACAATAAGTGCAAGTAATGCAGTAAATAACATTGGCAGAGGTGCACGTAAAGTGATCAGTGATCTTAATGGGTCTCGTGGGTCCCAAAATTTTCTCTACGTTATGAATGAAAGAACAAGTTTTGCATCGTGAGCGAGCGCATTCGAAAGTTCCAAGGTGGTCATTGGTTTGAAATGAACTTCTGACCAAAAAGTGGCCTATGTTTTTGTCACGTTTGAATGAAATCAGTGGAGGTTGTGGACAGATAGTACCAGTCTCTGAAACGTTTTGGAGTAGTTTAAAGTTTAATGAATGATAGATTTAACTGCGTGGTTGTGAGGGTGAAATGTGAGAGTGAATGGAATGCGGTCAGTGTTTTCCTTCTCAGCCGTTTGTAGTGCTGACTGTCGATCAATTTGTTGGGCAAGGTGGTGGCCCGCTTGAACGACAGAAACAGGATAGCCACTCATTTCAAACTGAAATTTCTAGTTTAGTTGTATTTGTTTTATATTATTATGAGAAGTTGACTCCTTTTGATAGCACGGAAGTCTTTTGAGCTCCCCTAATGAGCTAAACTTCTTTTTTGTTTATTTTATTTTTTATATTTATGTATTTCAACCTAAAAAGGGTTGTCTCTATCGCTCTTGAACATATTTAAATCGCGGCCGCTGGTGTATGAAAATAGGCCGATACATTATTTAATGCGGGCGATAGGTCAAGGGTCTTGAAATTTTGACTCGCCTCGTTCGGGGTGTTTTCATGACTCACCCATCCTGACAGATCTTTCTGCCAAGAGTATCTTTTGACGTGAGGTTGTGAGTAAATTCTGATTCTATTGCAGAAATACAAACCAAGCAAACTTGTGCAGACGTGTGAGATTAAGCACATACCAGTAATCCCAAAGAAAGACTTAGTTGTTACTCGCACATTGAGGCAGGGCCCATTTGTGGGACAAGTGTGCGAGGCGCAACTCACTTTGCCGGATGGGAGGAAGGTACATATTGCTGTTAATGAATTTGCTGTTCATTTGTGTGTGTCTGTTTGTTTGCTTGTTCGTTGTTGTTGTTGTTGTTGTCGTTGTTGTTTTGTAATGGCTGATAATTAGATAAATCCCTTAAGCGCTTTTTCATCCGTTTACACGTTAAATCGACGTCACATGTACCGTACGTGCACTTGCGGGTAATTGTATGGGAGAGGTATTTCACCTGGCTGTCCGTTTTTCCGCAAAGCGCCCTCTGGGGATTAGACTGTATTACCAGTTTTCGACGACATTGATGGAAAGGCAAACTCGACATAAATAACAGTGTTTGGGAGTCCACGGACAGACTCCAACTTGTCCCAGGTTCTCAGTTGATGAAGACGAGCTAAAAAAGTGAGGTCGCGAATTGTGGTGTTCGTGAATCAAGAGGTAGTGTAAAGAACAAAGCAGAACGAACGACTTAAGGTGATTCCTCAGTATTGCACGGCGCATCCTGTGATGCGCATAATAATCACGTAATCAGCCTGATAAGTGCGCGCACATTCCGAGAACATGTTATTGTTTTTCAATCAATGAGCGAGGTAAAAAAGGACGATGGTCTTAAGCTCTTGAACGAGTACGGTGACCTACATTTTTTATTGCATAATTTTGGTATAAAAAATCTATTATCCCCTTTAAATTGGGGATGTTAAAAAATTGTTCTAAGGGAAAAAAAGAAAAAGATAAAAGCGTGCATGAGGTCCGTTACTGACCTTGAAAGGGGCGACTCGGGGAACCTTTTGAGTCGATTTCGTTTAAATTTGCATGATTTTCTCGCAAATTATATATCAAATTGTTCCATACGCTCGAAACTCTCTAACTATCAAGTTTATTTTCAAGTGTTACTTTAAAAAACCTTGCTTCCAGCTGCGGCAAAATGTACCTTGAAGCGGTGAAATGACGCGCGTGATTAGGGCCAGTGCGGGCATAAATGGGGTAAGTTTGGCCCATTATATCTTCTTTTTACTGTATGTTTCGAAACAAACTAAGGTAAGGTAAGGAACATTTAAGGAAAGGATAAAAAATTCTTCGATAACTTTTTCTTTCTGAGGAATCACCTTACGCTGTTTACTTGACGTACAAGGTAAGGTTGGCAGTAGGCAGCCTTCTCCGGGCACAGGTTAGGCAGCGGGTCCATTACAATTTTTGACATAATTCTTTGGCTGATTTCATTCTGTATTTAAATTTTTGGCATATTATTTTACATCGGAGTCGTTCATGCACGTTTTTGTTTGCCTGTTTGTCTTTTTGTGTTTGTTTATATGTTTGCTTTTTTCAATAGGAAAAAGTTTGTCTTCGTTATCAAACGGTACAAGATGAAGACCAAATGGACTTCTTAAGAGAAGCAGAAATAGCATTTCAACTTCGTCATGAGAATATTCTAGCTTACTACGGCGTAGTCATTGCTAGTTCATATTCACCACACCCAGCTTTGGTAAGTTATTCACATTTATTCTATATATTGCCAAAAGATCTGGATAGCATCAGATATGTAACGAATTTTTAGACAATAAACGACGCTTCTTTAAGACACGTTTCGACAGTTCTTCTGTCATCTTCAGTTTTGATTTACACGAAGTACAAAGTTGAATTTAAAGTGTGTAGCACAATGCTGATTGGACAAAAACAAAACAATAGTAACAGAACAAGGTATGCAATTTACAAGGAAAGTTTTAACATGATAAAGTTGACTAAGTGTGAGTTGCTCCCATTGAATATGAATAGCTTCTTTGATTTTAAGTTGGAAAGTTATGGGAGCGTGATCTAAAATGCTAAAACACTCATCAGAACATAGAGTGCGACATTGTGGAGAATTATGGAGACGTCTATAAATGTGAGAGGTCCTATCACTGATCAAGTGCTCACGCGCGCGTGTGGATAAATAGCATGAGGTTTCGCCGACATTCATCATCAATTAGTTCAAAACAGGGCATGCCAAGTTATTTTTTGTTGTTGTTTCTTTTCGTTTTCATTTGCTTTATTTCCTCCAGCTTTAGGTGGGTGCTTTGAAGTTTTGTAGACGTTTAGCGATGAGCAGCGATGCCGTCAGTCTATTTACGGCCCGTTACGCGGGCTATTGCCTAAATATTAACTTTTATATTCTCTTTTTTTTTACCTTTTACTTTTGTAACGTTACAGGTGGTCGAGTTTGCAGAATATGGAAACCTATCAGAATCATGGCCTCATCATAACATTGAACACCTGTGGAGATATACCATCCAGGCCGCAACTGCTTTGGAATACTTGGAGAAAAGAAATGTCATTCACCAAGCTGTTTTTGGTTATAATTTCTTGGTTGTAGCTGGTTTTAAGGTAGTTATCATTATTATCGTCATTATTATCGTCATTATCATTGATACTGCCAATTTGGCACTGCCATCGTCACTGTGTAGGAAATGGGATCAATTAGCAGTACAATCAAGGAAAAGACCATCTTGCTCGTGTTCAAAGCTTGCATGAGCGAGTCATTGTTCAGTGATTTTGTGGGACACTAAAACATTTATTTCCAAGTGAATCGTCGTGGATTTACTTAAAGTAAGGGGGAGATTCGCGACATGTTATTGGAAAAGGTGATAGTAGTACTATCACATAATCAGAAGGAATAACCCAGTTGAATGTAAGTTTAAACTACTCCATGTTTTATTTCATCCAAGCTGAAGCTTGCAGGCCTAGCGGCTTGTTGGTTTAAAGAAGTAAACCTGAAAAAGTAAGTATACATCGTATCAGAATAGATTTATCATAAAATTCGAAATTGTGAAAGCTCAAGCGATGAAAATGTAGTTAACTTTAGCCTTTGCCGAAGAATTATGGCTGAAAAGAGAGGAGAATCAAAATTATCAGGCTTTATAATTTTTGTTGAATGCGGGAAGGTCATTAACGAAGTTGTCGTAAAGTGTTTGCACTGAACAAGATGATTTGGTTCTGTTAACTGAGTTGAGCTGATGTTTCGGGCGTTAGCCCCTCTTCAGAGCGAATGACGAAGGGGCTAACGCTCGAAACGTCAGCTTAGAAACTCTTAACGATTACCAATTTACACCATGAACTCAGTTGATAAAACCAAATTATCTTGCACTCTCCCGACGACGCAATACCACAGTTTCTAAAGAAACTTGCCCCCTATATTCGTTTGCACTTAAGGGTGTGCAAGCTGTTTCAAAGCGGTCGAAAGGTAGAACATTCAACAGCTTTAAAACAGACATATATGGAACTTCGCAACGTACAATGAGTTGGCACGCTGGCGAGATCTACTACCCATTGCTGTACAACGTCCAGAAACGAGTATTAATATCAGGGCTCGCCAGACATAATTCGATCCTGATCATCGACTTTGACCCACTCTTTATTTCCAGCTAATCCTACTTCTGCTGTATTCGGAAAACCTCATGCGTCTGCACAGGTTTATAACTGTAGGCTCAGAGCCCCCCTGGATAACCCAAAAAATAAGATAGGTCTCAACACTTAGTTTAGATTTGTCCAATCTTTACAGACAGATGAATATTGCTGTTCCTGAAACACTAAACAGTGTAGCTGTCATGTTCGGGAGGTTATTCTCTGAGATATTTTCCGCTTTCTCGAAAAGGTATAAAGGACACAAAAAACTTGCGGTGAGTTAAATGTTGATATTTTATGGAGGTTAGATACGTGGCTAACCACAGTAGTGATTGGGTGTCATTTGTATATGATGTAGATAGGATATGATTTTAAGTATAGCCGTCGTTTTGTAGTTACTTATGGGTTTATACAACTCGGTGAAAAAGAAAGAAAACTTGCTACGTTGAGGTTATTAATCAGAGAAAACCGAATGAATCACAAGTCAATTAGAAAGCGTTCTATAGATTATATATAAAACCCGCATAACTTGAAATGTTAAAACTTTTTTACCAAGAAGTTAATATTTATTAATTATGTTATGGTAGTTAAAGCCTACCAGAATCGACCAGAAAATTATAACCAATAATAATCAAGTAATTGAAAAGCTCCAAGGGCCGGTTGTTAAAATAAAGTTTAACCGTTTTTAAACAGAACCGCTTTCGTGAACGGTGTCATTAATTCCGAAAATTAGCAGTGGAAGGACGTATATTTAAGTACTATTGCAGTTACACCAGCTTTGCGATCTGCTCGTTTTTTAATTTAACCTCCTCGAATGAACAGAGGCGATCTTTAGTAAAAGTTGGACTGTATATGAAGCGCCGTTAGTGATGTCTTGTTTCCCTTTCTCATCTTCACGTTTTTTTCCTTCAAACGGATCCATTCTACTTTCTAGGCACTTTCAAAGTGGAGTGACGTAAAGTTTGGTGATCTTTGCCCTTCTCATTTTTGTGACGTCTTTCAGCGTTGCTTACGAAACAGTGAGCGCATGCCACCCTCTTTCTCAGAAATCAGGCAATCTCTTGTAACACAGGTTAGTGCGGTATGATAAATTGACAATTTTACAGCGCGCCATGCAAATTGGTTTCTTGAACAATGATGATTTTCTAAGTATTGAGTGAATTTGGAAAAATGTAATTTCGTGTGGATCATCAGAATGCAGGTTGCTTTGCAAAGGAAGAAAACGAAAAATGCCATGATCCTTGGAGAGTAATAAGGTGAAATAAGAACAGTATGCCAACGTTTTGGACCTCGCGTAAGAAGCTTTGGGAAAGGCAAGCAAAAGGCTCCGCGTGCGGTGTCATTCTGTCTTGCCAAGATCATCAGAAAAATCATGAATACCGAAAGACCCGCGTCTTTACCATAAATTTTTATTTTAAGTTACTCCTACTTCGAAATTGAATTTTTTTGTGTTCCAACTTTGACTGTTACACTAGTTGTTAAATAACTGCAATTGTAATAGTAATAGCAATTATAAATAACGACTCTTATATAGTTTGATATTACAATTTCATTTGGACATTACAGGAGCACCCTTTGAAATTGAAGGTTATTCGCAAATTCGAAGGGTCAAAAGATGGTTTTCTCAGCTGTAATCCTGGAGAAATCATAACTCTGATTTCCAAGAAACGACACAAGTACGTACACTGTAGTGATGTTTCCAACTCAGGTCTCTGTTCAGCGAAAGTAATACAATTGCAGAAAAAAATGCTTCTTTGTAATTTTGAGATTTACAAGCTACTTCTATTTTAAATTTGAAAGGTTTGAAGTGGCAGTGAAATGAGACATATTAGTTGGGTTTTATCCCTTGCAGGTATGACAAAACTGCTTGGTTTGGTGTCACACAAAGTGCTCAAATAGGATTTTTCACGCTAGAGTATGTAGAAGAAATAATGAATGATAATGTTGATGGTAAGTACTATTCTGTTACGACCCCGGCTTTGACACAGGTTTCGGAAAGAAAATGTCTGAAGTCTCTTCCTTTGTAGGTTCTGTTATACCTCTAGAGATTCAGGCGCGAGGTCCCAGAGCTGAGCTTGCCTTTCAAAAGGCATTGCGGAATGGCAGAGTGCAAGTTTTTCGTGGTCGGATCATGATACTTGGCCAGGACCGAGCAGGGAAAACAAGTCTTAAGAAATCTCTGCTCGGTATGCCTTTTAATCCCGAGGAAGAGAGCACTGTTGGAGTCGAAGTTGACCCATCCAAGTGCGAAGTCGATGTGGATCAAGTAACGAATTGGCAGCGCACAGAGCATACGAAACTGGATGTTTCTCATTTTGTTGAAGACATAGCAAGGATAGTTGCTAAAGACTTAAAGGAAACAGATGAAGAGCCAAAGAAGACAAATGATGTCACTTCGCTTTTGGAGCAGGTTAAATTAATTCTTTGGATGTCACTCATGTCGATTTCGTTTATGGAAGCTGTATTATTCCGTTCTTCCTTCCCCTTGTTCAAACTCCGTCTTCTTGACAACTTAACTTGAACGGTTCATTTCATTCTCGTCTTCTTTTTTTTAGTGGCCAAATCCATTCCACTTGTTATGCTTTCGATTGATTCTCGTGCGAAACGATTTTTTTTTACCAATTTTTATTTCTTCTTTTACCAATGTAGATGTAAATCTTATTATAGGGATACAACGATGAGCTGCAAGCTGACGATCCAATGCCAGTAGATACGACACCCTTAAACAATTCATCATTAAAAAGTGAGGAGGAGGAAAGCGTGACGACTGACAACATCAGTAACAGTGGTGTGCCGGTAGGCAAGCCAGCTGACCTTAATATTCAACTAAGCGTCGATACCAGTTCAGATTTACAGAATGATGTCACGGAACTGGTTGTGCAGTACTTGCAGGCTTTGAGACTAGAAGATCACGTTAAGACAAAAGAAACCAGTTTCACTTTGTGGGATTTCGCTGGGCAGCATCTGTACTACGCCTCGCACTCAGTATTCCTTTCTCCTCGAGCTGTTTATGCCTTAGTTTACAACCTGACTAAAGATCTCAATGCTCCAGCTGAACCTCGAGTTAAACAGGGTATTCACGATATTATATTGGAGAAACAAAACAGTGAGACAAATTTGGAGAGTTTGCTGTCGTGGCTGGCTTCTATTCACAGTATTCGCCCAGCAGATGACGAGCCAGGAAATAACCAGCAAGACAAAAGATCTTACCTACGCCCTCCAGTGTTCATCGTGGGTACAAACGCTGACAAACCGTTCGAAGATGTCAAGAAAATGGAAAAGTGTATTCAAAGAAATATTTCAGGGAAGGTTTATGAAAAGCACGTGATCAAGCCATTGTTTGCTGTTGATAACACACGATCGATTGGCGATGATGGTGTTCAAGCACTGCAGCGAAGGATCATGGAGGTTTTCAGACAAGAACCCTACATGGGTGAGGAGATTCCAATTAGGTATGATACTTGAAACAGTCTCAGTTCGTGAAACAGCGCCTAGAATAAATCTGCAAATGCTCTCTCGCAAATGTTGTAGTCTGATTGGTTACGTTTCTCGCCATCTATTTAACAAATAGATTCCAAGTTGCCGTGGCACACGAGGCGCAGCTGAGTGTGTCACTGATGTTCTTACCATATTTTGACGTCCTCTGTGCTCTATTACTGAACAGACGCACGGCAACTTGGAATCTATTTGTTTTATATAATACAGAATTTAAAAAAAGTTTTAATGAAGTCATCTATACGTCTGTCCTCCAATAGATCATGAGTGAGAACCAATCGGAATGCGTGCATAACTGAGCTTACTATATAATACATGATAGACAGAGAGTACGATGATTAGCCTAAAAGTATAAAGGTTTCAACGAAAAAAGCTCGAAACGTGATCCTGTCCTGTTTAATTTTGAACGACCTGTAGATTTACAATAAAATAATCTGTTTGTTTGCTCTCCATATTTGTGCTTAATATTTTTTTTGAGCTTCGCCTTCGTCAACTACCGGACGATAGAAATCTTGAGTTCATAATGCAATTGATGAATATCTATGAAAATAGGAAATATTTCAATAAAAAAAAAAGGTTATTGATCGTATTAAAAGTTTTATCGCCGCATTGAGCTAATTGTTGATTAATGGGACTGCTCTCATATGATTGACTCACTCCTAATTCACAGAGCAAAAAAGGTGAACATCTTTCCTTGTGCATAACCTTATTTTTGCCTACGCGTAGGTGGTTCAACTTCGAAAAAATCATCGAAGCTTTGGTAGCAAAGGGAACCTATCACATGGATTTTGATCAGCTTCTCACAGTTACGAAGAAAGTTTGCGAAATAGATGATAAGGAGGAAATGATGGCCATGTTGAATTTCTATCATGACTTGGGAGTGATCGTGAAGTACGGCCGCACCGTTGTACTGCAGGCACAGTGGCTGATTGACCTTTTTAAAAGATTGATAACTGTGAGGCCTTTTGACGAAATGGTGAGCAAAGTGTTCTCGTACCTTCCCCAGACACTGGAAATCTCAAGAATGCTTCGTTTCCAAGAAGTTGTTCCACCTTTTTACTTGCTTTTTTTTGTTGTAGTTCCCTTCTAAGTACGTGTTACCCCAATGGTCAAGATGATGAACAGGGACATTGTTGAAATCTCTCTTTTTCATCCTTTTCTTGTTCTTTTTTTATTTCGGTTTTGTTGTTGTTGTTGTTGTTTTTTGTTTTTCACTTCTGTTTGTTTGGTTGTGGAAGTTTTAAGCGCAAGATTTCTTATGAATTACGAACGATGTAATTAATGGTTTTGTTCTTGCTCAGAACGTGCCTCATCTGTAATGTGGAGATAACAGATCTGCCAATTTATAATCTATTTTGTGATTTACTTTTTCAGGATGCTCTATATTCAGAATGCTGGAAGGAACTTGAAGAAAGCGGTATTCTAAGGATGACCCTCGTTGATCACGTTTTCGCTGATGTAATCCAGAATGGGCTTTCCAAGAAGGACATTTTGGATATGATGGAGCTGTATGGCTTAATCGCTAAATTTTCTTTTTTCCCAGTTGCTTCCAAAGATGAGCAGAAATACTTTGTACCAGCCCAATTAAGGTCATCTCCAGCAGGTCTGTGTGAAATAAAGACATCTAGCGGTGATCCGTGCCCTTTGTATCTTCATTTCCTTGATGGCTTTGTACCTCATGGGCTATTCCCTCAGCTTTTGGCGAGGTTCATCCGCTGGTCCTCAGAGCATGCGCCCAATCAAGCTCCAAATTTGTACCACAATGGTGCGCGACTCTTCATCGGAAGGAAGAACATGTACAGTCTCGTTCTTATCTGCAGAAAACGATTCATTAAGATCGTACTAAAACAAAGGAATCCTGCTTTGAATACCCCGTTCGTGACTACTGCTCAAGAGGTTCGCGTGTTCCTTGAAGATAGTTTGCAAAAGCTGAGCCTTGAGTCGCCCTGGCTACGCAACCTGAGGTGTGAACTGTGTGTTGCATGTCCCAGTTGCTTAACTCACGGAGAAGAATGTGCTAAACATGGATCAGTCTGCTGTGCTCACGATGATTGTCTCCATCTTCTCCGAGTAATTCCAGAGGAACAGCTGTTTTGTCCAAAAAGCTTCACCGATGAAGCTCTTCAAATTGATGGACTAAACAACTGGTTCCAGGTTGGTAAAACAAAGGTAGAAATGTTTTATTTGTTTTTTTTTTTTCCTTTGGTTTTTACTTATTTGTTTTCTTTTTTTCTTACTCGACCAAAGAAATGATTGAGCAATGTAGCTGCTGTATACATGAAATTTCCAAACACATCTTTGCCCATGAAGTTAATGACCTAGACACGTTGTAGAACCTGTGGTTCGCGAATGAATGTCGAAATAAATACGTTGTCATTGTCTTAAAAAAACTCTAGAGCATTGACTCCAACGATTTTCCTACTCTAAGGGAGCATCGAGTATTGCCTAGTGTCATCTAGCTTTTTTTTATTTAGAATGAAGAACAGATGCAGCGGATATTGCCCTCTTTGAACTCAGAAGGTGAGAAACAGCCATGCTATCTTAGTCTTTTAAGCGATAGGGCCTGTAGTGTAACCACAGTCAGAGGCTCAAAAGTGATAAGAAATCGTATTACAGCGTAGTTCATGTTCTCGTACTCTTAGCAGTAAAAAAGAGCGAGTTTTTATTTGTTAGAGGTTATTCTTAAACCAACTTTGATTGATTTTGTTCTTTTGATTGACGACTGATGGTTGTCAGAAGGGCAAAACACAATCCTAAATCAAGTTGTGAATACAAAGTAGCAACAAGAACGGCAATCGCTCATTCTGACATATGTTAACTCCAGAGGAGTCTTCGTAATAGCTGTTTCCTTGATGATTTAAACAGCAATCCAGCGACCCTTCCCTTCCAAAACGGGCACACCTTCACGTGATGACCTCCTCCTTCTTGCTTTCGAGTTGGGTTCATCGTGGAAGATGCTGGGTCGGGCACTCTCTCTTCCTGAAGCAGTGCTGGAGCAAATTGAGGAAGACAATCACAAGCTGATTGAAAAATGTTGCAGAGTGCTCATAAAATGGACTGAGGTGTTTGGCCCTTCGGCTACGTACGAGTCTCTGGCGAAAGCTTTGCAGCACCCTGCAGTGGGTCGAGGTGCGCTTGCTGTCAAATACTGCGACGTCCCTGGAGATGTTTACACAGGTAAATAAAATCAGTCGAACAAAGCTTTCAGATAAATAATTTACCGATTTTTAAGCTTCAATCGAGAAATATGCTTCAGAAACCGCATGAGTTTCATCTCCGCCCCGGTTCACAAACAACCACCACTTGGTTGTCAGCCTTTCTGTCAAAATCATTGAGAACTGAAGTCTGTCACGTCATTGGCAAGCTGTCAGATTGTTGAGCTTTATTAAAAAATGGTGGCGTCTGTAGTAGACGTTTTGGCTTTGGGTGTCTCGTGGAATCGCGATCGGTAGCCCGTTACGTAATCGTATTTGTACGTTTATGCAGGGATAAAGAGAACTTAATGGTTTGTGGAGCTTACGTCTTCTTTACAATAATTTCTTTTCACTCTACTGCCTTTTGATTTAGAAATTGACACTTTTTTTTAACTGAACAGGCACAGAAGCTTCACCCATCTCCTGCAAAATCGTAGATAATTTGAGGTGGAGTTGCCCAGTTTTTCTGTCTTACCAGTGGGATTTGCAAGAGACGGTGAAGAGACTAAAGAATAGAATTGAGGAGAATGGGATTCAGTGCTGGATGGACATTGGGCAGATGGGAGGAGGTGATGCTTTGTTTGCCAAGATAGATGCTGGTATTCGAGCGTGCAAGGTGAGCGGTAGGGTTAGAATAACGTTAATAAGTCCCAGCCGTGATATAAGGGAATCTCTTTACCTTAATATTTGAATGACTTACCTCCTTTTTAAACCTATCGAATATGCAATTCTTTCTTTCTTGCAAATGTTTCCTTATTTTTTTTTTGTCTCAAAGTGATTCGTCTTGGGTTTTTGAGCAGTCTTCTTGCATGCGTTCATTTACAGGTCTTCGTATGCTGTGTAACGAAAAGGTATTGCCAATCTGACGCCTGTCAAAGAGAAGCTACTCTTGCTTGTAACTTAAAAAAGCCCATCATACCTCTGCTGTTCGAGGATATATCCTGGCCGCCTGAGGGTCAACTGGCTTTGATCTTTACTACGCTTCTTTACATAAAGATGAGCGTAGAACATGGAGAGTTTCCTGATGCGCAGTTTCAGGAGATGATGAGAAAAGTGGGAGAGTTCGTTCAAACTTGAAAAAGCTCGCTATGCAGTCAAGGAGAATATTTCATGAATTTCGGAAGGATGAACTCTACCTAAAGTGCTTTACATTTGGTAGGTGATTGGAAGTCCCAACATCATCAATTGTGACTTATTCTCCTAATTAACACCGCCTGCTATGATTCGAATTTTACAAGCACAGTACTTGCAGATATTCTTAATCATCCTAAATTAAGTGGTACCAGTGCTAAGCAGATTAATTTTCTTGTTTGTATCGTTTATTTACACGCAGATTGTATGGAGAACTGATGCTGAATTCTCCTTTTTGCGTCTCGACTAGTCTTGTTATTATACACACGACAAAGGCAGCGGTTACTGTTCGCCGCCAAGAGAGTTCTTCTGCCAAATTGCTCAAGATTATAATTATTATAATGAGGAAATGCCATATTTTAAAATGTGATTGGAAGGCTTAGTCGCGCCACTATGTGATTTGAGAGAAACGAAACGTCAACTTTGAAACTCTTTACGGTGGCCAAATTACACTATCAATTTAGTTGATAATACGAAATAATCCTTTTTCACAGTTTCTTTAGAGACTTACCCCCCTTAATTCTGTATCGTTTTGATTCCAAGTTTTACAACTGTAAGTCGAATATTCGTCCGGTTTAAAAAACGGTATTACTTAAATCAAAGTGACACTTTGGCGAATTCACGGATACATTGTGCAGAATACAACTAGGACATACAGTAATTGTACTAAACGGGAGTGATCTTCAAATTACAAGCAGCAGCATTCAGCCTCTTAAATATAAAGAGGGTTTGGGCAGTCAGAGCGTTAGTATTCGGAATGACGAAATTGAAAAATTATTATATCCTTTACTGTAGCTTTATTTTTCTTGAATTTTATTTTTGTTACTCATGTTTACTTAAGGTTTTAATGGTAATTTTAATTGTCATATACGGATATAGATTCATGTACGGATATAGATTGAGCGATATATATCACTACATCACATTAAAGTGACCAAACAAAACTTATAATTTCAAGGGTTTTACTGTGATCATGTGTTACGGTAGCAGTTATTGCACGCGAATACTACAAACGCCTGCCGTTTGGTTTTAGATTTCCAAGCCGTGTCTCGACGTGGCCATGCTCGATGCATGGCCAAGTTTCAGCTTGAAGGTTGCCTTCTTTTTGTGTTTTAGGGCCTGTTAGCATGCAGGAAGGGACCCCAGTTAGGTGAGGTAACCCTTCCAGGTGGGGTAACTCGCCTGTCCATATAATCTCTTAATTTATCTTGATCACGTTTATGGGATAGGTGGGATGATGTTCCTAGCGGGGTTAACCCTGTCAGACGAGGTCACAATTTGCCGTGTAAACGTTTCAAGGTGGGGTTAGCAGCCTAGCCGGGGTCTCGTCCATGTTTCATTTGCTAGTGCGCCGACAATCTCAGCACAAAATAGTGGGTTTGTAAAATTGTATGTAAACGCGGGCTTCTTTTGGACCATGGCTAGGCGGGTTGCCTCACCTACCCGGAGTCACCCACCTTCATGTAAACAGTCCCTTAGGATCATTGGTTTCCTTTGTAAACCATCATTAACTCTCATAACCACCGTTTGTTCCTACAGCGGCAGTACGCTAATAAGTCAGCATATGTCACCAATTCGCTTGGTGACCGCTCCTGGGGCAAAGGAACCATTCCTCCCAGCGAAGCCGCCATTTTTTCGTTTGATGCCTTTACTTGCTTATCCATGTAATCCTTTGGCCATCCCCCTTTATCAAATATCGGAGTAAGTTGTTATCTCGAGGATTTTAGTTTTTCTTGCTAATAATGATAGTCTTTTTTTCTGTCGAAACTCCCTTCGGATGTCATAGAAGTGACATTCGGGGGAAGACACAGTACTACTGCCGTGTATATCTTAAGACTATCAAGTATTAAAACTACCCAACTGAAGAGATTTTTTATGTAAAATGGGAACCAAACCTATTCATATACGTGCATCATTCCTATTCATAAAGTCTATCTTGTCCAGACCATTTACAATGATTTAGTGTAGGAGCGTTACTGCTCTCGTACCTGCCCGTAATCGTACTTTTGCAAACAAAACTATCTCAGATGACTTGGTGGATCCTCGTGTGATGTACACACCATCAGCATGGTCCCACATTATTGTAAAATTCAGCTCTCTTTCATGTACCCACTGAGTACAACATTGCGCTTTGAAAAGCCTAGACTTATTACAGAGTATTACTGGCGTGTAACAAAGTTTAATTCCCCGTCCATTCCTTGAGAAATGACATATTGGCCACACACAAGACAGGCCGAACATGGAATTTCCTCAGCTCCTTACGAATAACCAGCCAGCCTCTCATCGGGTAATGAAGCTTAGATACCAGTTGCTGATATATAAGCTAAGAATTATTTATCATGCGGGCATAATTGTTGTTTGATCATTTTTCTCTAAATCTTTAGTTGGTCCTTTTTTTTCTGGTTTTTTAATTTATTTATTACTTTTTTATTATTATTTGATACCGTTCACTTGTCCAGTTTACGTCTGATAGAAAAAAAAAAGGTAGTTTAATAGCAGATAGAACTTATCCCAAATATATCCTGTTTACGATGTACTTGAATCCGAAGACGTGTTTAATTGTTCACGCTGGCGGTGTGCAGAATTAAAGCATCACCTCACTGAAATATATTCATAGTTTCCATGGTGGCTTGATCGAAATTTATTTTATAACATTACCGGAGTAACACACACATCCTGTTTTCCTGTTTAAATTGCAAATAAGTGTCTACAATGAACAAACGTTTCTTTCTTTGATAAAACTCCAGTTTGGAATGAAACAAATGCAGAAAAAATGAAAAACCGAGCCAATAAACTAGAATGGTAGAAGTTTGAACTAGTGTTGATTGTCGCTCGCAACAAACTGATTAACAGACAGAGAAGGAAATTAAGGAAAGTTTAACTACAGTTAGCCATACTGGAAACCCAAGCACCGTACTCATTATCAATTTCTGATTCGTTACAACACTGAGTTGTGAACATTTTTAAACACGAAAATTATTAGTTTGCCTTGTTACTAGTTTGCCTTGTAGAGTTTTGTTGGTCCTTTTCTGAATAGTATCCAGTTTGATTTGACGAAAAAAAATTGTCTTAACGCAGAATTTAAATTATGAAAAGCGTTTTCCCGTGCATTTTAGAAATGAAATAAGTACTTGATTTAAGAACTGTAAACTGAAGTATTAACATCACAATGCATGGCTCATTTCCATCCGCTTGAAACGAGCAATAAAGGTCCACCTTAGCTTATTCGAACAACATATATTGTATTGTATCTTTCGTTCATTGATGTTCGGAAACTAATTTGCAGCTAAAAAACTTTACGTATAAAAGCTTGCCAATCTGAAACATTACAACAACTTCACATCGATCTTCTACGTTTGCACGATTACCACTTACGGGAATGAATTGTAAATAATCGTCTATATAATTTTGCCCATGTTTGTTCCTTATCATAACGGAAAGGACAAGGGTTGATTTTCTCTTTCCTTTTTAAACTACTTTACAAAGTAGGACTGATTTCTATCCGCCCTAAACGAGCAAAAAAAACCCTATTTTTAAAACTCCCATTGAAAAAAACAGCAAAATGGAACGGAAGAATCCAAACAGCCAAATAAAATTTTAAAAAAAGAACACCCTAAAACTTACTCGTTCTCATCAACTACTATGGAAATTTGACAGTAGATTCAGCTTTTTGTAAGGCATCAAACAGTCCATGGAAATATAATTTAGATAAATAATAGATAAAATTTAAAAGCTAAGCATTCAATAATGGGCGGAAATTAATCGAAGCTTCACAATTACTCACTTTGCAGAGTCGCAAATGTTTGGCAAAATATGTATGCAGGCTTGTTAATCTCAAGCAACACATGCTACAACTTCACATCGTTCGATCACAGGGAAAATCATTTCAGAAAATTAAAGGGCAAACACAAGTCTACCCGAGAGCAACCTGTCATCAAAAGCTTGCCATTTCCTTGACTACACCGCTTGGCAGCCAAGATACCTTACGAACAGAACCTACGTAAATCTAGTCGCTGTCATTTGTGTCAACTAAATCTCAGCCATTATAGCTGTTCCTTTAAATTCAATGATTATCATGGCTGTAGCGACCAAGAAGGAGCTGAGAACTCTCCACAACATTCTCTTGGCGTGTTTGGCGGGGACGGATTTACTGATCAGTTCGCTCGCACAACCCTTGTTCATAACGTCAGAAATTAAACGCATTCTTGATCTCGGACTTTTCTGTACTTTTGACATAGTAATAGGGATTGCTGGTGGTACTAAGCATCGAAGGCTACATTTTCATCAAGTTTCCCCTAAGATACGAAGAAATCGTCACTGAAGAGAAAACAGCTGCTGGTGTGTTGACGGCCTGGGCTGTTGCAGCAGTCGTAGCAAGTTTAATGGCCGCCCACGCATCTATGATCACCGAGTCACAACTCTCCGCAAAACTATTGACAGCCAGCTACTGATATATTACTAGCCTTTGTCGTCCTTATTTACACTGGTATAATTCTATACTGCTATATAACCATCTACTCAGAAGTCCGAAACCAAAGGCGCCGCCTAAAATCTGAGCCATTACCCGAAGAACGGGCCCATCAACTGAAGAAAAACAAAAAGGCAGCGAACACCCTGGCAATCACTATAACGGTTCTTCTCTTCTCCTACCTACCTGTAACCATTCTTTTGGTAGGAGCACCTTTTTCCGATACCCTGTTGGAGCTTCATGTGTTGCACACAGTCTCATCGTGGTCTTACACGTCTGGTTTGATGAGTTCCCTCCTTCACCCACTCATTTACTGCTGGCGTTCTAAAAGCTTCGCCGCGCATTTCGCGAGATTCTGCACATAAGATACACATAAATCAGCCCAGATATGGAATTACAATCCAACCAGAATGATCAGTCGACCCCTGCAAATGAGGATCGGAAAGTAGTCACTAGTGGCGAAGAACTTTTTATTAAACGAAAAGAACTTTATCGAAGATGATGACTTCAAGAGATGACTAAATTATGCTTAGCTTAAAACTAATCTATAAGCTTATCAACATTCATTATGAACGTGAGTTTTTGTTTGTCTTAGAGCCTCAAGGAAATCCAACACTGTTCGCTGCTAGTAACGATTTCCATTTCATTTTCAGCAACTACCCAAGGAGTAGGTTTTTCATTTCCTCTTTTACTTCTGATTAAGGGAACAGAGGTAAAAAATTCAGTATATGCGCTTCTAGAAAAAAGTAATCATGATTGCGAAGAGGAAAAGGATTTGAAAACTTAGATGGATCCTTAGATGGAAAAGAATGGTTTTTATTTTAGGGTACGAGTGAGAGGTTCAAGATGGAGGAGAAAAAGGAGTGGGAGGTGATACAACAGTGCCATAGGAACACGATAGCTCGTGTTCGACATCTTGGGTGTTTAAATGAGATACAACGGGCTGTACCATAACTATCATTATTATCATCATCATCATCATCATAATTATTATCATTACTGTAATTATAATCATAATTATTATTATTAGAAATGTTGTTAATATTATCATCTCTGTTATTATTACTTTCATTCTTGTTATTGATTTATCATCACTATCGTCTTAGTCACTTTGAATCACAGCTGCTTCTTCCCAGGAGATAGTCTTAACCAGCTTAGGCAATCATAGAAATAAATCTCCTATAAGTGATCCACTGATACCGGATGCAATATCTACCATTTTTAATTGGTGCTATATTTCCCAGCGAAATAATCTTATGCAAACACAAGCAGCCCACACAATTTTCCGGTATAAAATCTGTATAAATCTAAACAGTCCTGCTGGTAGCATGGGCTACTCTGTAATAAAGGTCCAGACGATTATGTAGGTGTTATTTGCTTACACCCTACAAAAATGCTCGAAAATATAATTATCATTTGGGAATTCCTGCAAATTAACTTTCTTGTTGAGAGAAATCGTTTTTTCATGATGTGTCATTCTTCGAACTTGCCAACTTAACTATCTAAGCGAATTCTGCAGAAAATCTTATTCAGGAGAAAAGAAACATTGTAGAACTGGGAACCGAATTTATTTTTAAACACAATCAGCACTATCTGGACTGTATATGGAGCACGTGTTAAACAATTAACAGGAAACAATAACATTCATGATTGGTCCTTTTCTTGCAAGATAAATCTTTAAAAACCCATACACGATTGGAAAATCCAACGCTTTGAGTTACACTTCGATCATTCACGTTACTAAATATTAGACAGAACTATCTCGTGTAAATGTCGGAGACAAGTTTACCTGCGAGCAACGTATCATTAGAAGATTGCAATCACCTTAGCTACGCGGCCTGGCAGCCGGGGTACCTCACAGGGGGTGTTCACCACAACCTAATCGCTGTCATCTGCATTAATTCTATCTCAGCCATTGCAGCCATCCTGTCAAATGCATTGGTCGTCGCAGTCATAGCGACGAAACAACAGCTAAGAACTCTCTACAACATTCTCCTTGCGTGTATGGGGGCAACGGATTTATTGGTTGGCATGTTGGTACAACCCTTGTTCGTGGTGTCAGAAATCAAGCACTTGAACGGTTTCGCACCGTTTTGCGCGCTTGACACTGTAGTTTCGGTGACTTCCTATGGATTTTGCCTCGCGTCGGTTGGCCATCTCGTCTTAATCAGCGTCGAACGCTACGTCTTCATAAAGCTGCCCCTCAGATACGAAGAAATTGCCACGGAGAACAGAATGATAGTTGGTGTTCTAACGGTCTGGGTCGTGTCAGCATCGTTTTCAATCACGATGATAATGATGGCCTCTACGAATGAGTTAGCAGAGAACCAGCCGTTACTAACCATCTTCGAACTGCTGACAGCCTTTATCGTTTTTGTTTACATTGCTGTCATTGTATACACTTGCGTGGTAGTCTTACTGGAGTCCCAAAGGCAAAAGCGCCGTATGCAGACCCACCAGTTGTCCGCGGAGGAGACCCAGCAACTGAGGAAGAATCACAAGGCAGCTTATACCTTTACAATCATTGTAACAGGGCTACTGTTCTCGTACATGCCCACACTTGTGCTTAATATATACGCAGCTATATCAAATGATTGGGTGGAGCCTCACTTATTGTACGTTATCTCATCATGGTCTTTCACGTCTGTCTTGCTAGGCTCGCTTCTTAACCCCTTGATTTACTTCTGGCGAATTGCAACACTTCGCCGTGCGTTTCTCGACTTCATGCATATTGGCACGGTACGTCCCCAGCAGGATAATCAACCACACCTTTCCAGAGAAGCTTGGTCGGTAGCCAATACTAACTAAGCCCTGCCCAAAGGACAAAGAGCATCCTGTCGAAGACATGTAATATTCCAACCAAAAAAATAACATTCCGAAAAAAGTAAAAAACGCTTTTCGGTTGTTATTAAAGTAACAATCTCGCTTTCAGCATAGAATCTGTGTAGATGTCAAACATCTCGCTGATATGTGTGCTACCCTGTATTTAAATTCCTAGTAAGTACTAAGCCGGTTCTATAGCTAAAAACAGATGATTGTGTACGTGTCATTTGCTTGACCCAACTGATTGCTCTGCGAAGTACTGGTACTTCTGTTTTGCTTAACTTCTTGCCTGGGAGAAGTAGTAAATTTTTCAGAAATAATAATTACAATAATAATGATATGATACTAATAAAACTTATAACAATTATGATAATACAAGGAATTGACGATTAAAAATTTGAGACCGATTTCATTCCTACAAAATTCTTGGTCGAAAAAATATTCTTATAACCTTAAGTCGAATTAATAGGCCTTTTTATCAAGCGAACACAAAGAATCCAAGCGATCTCGTAATTTCATGCAGCCTTCGATCATTATCGTGATATTCAGTACAGTTTATTACTTAAAAGAAGAAACAAACACATGGATTGAAATTTTCCAATCTTAGGACACGCTCTGCAACTTTGCGCCTGTTTCTAGTGAAGTTCGCCGCTGGATTGACAGCAGCAGAAAACGAGTTTTCAATACCATTGTCATTGTTGTGTGCATGTCATTAAAAAGAGCAAAATTGCTTTATTTTATATATAGTATATTAACGCTTAAAAAACCGAGACTGATTCCATTCGTTCAAAATTCTTGGTCGAAAAAATTTCCTCATGACCTTTTGACGCTCTTTTTTCGAATTACTGGGCCTTTCAAACAAGCGAACACAAAGAATCCACGCGATCTCGTAATTTTATGCCGCCTTCGATCATTATCGTGATATACAGTACAGTTTATTACTTTAAAAAGGAAAGAATGCACATGGATTGAAATGTTCTAATCTTATGACACACTCTGCAACTTTGCACCTGTTTTTCAGTGAAGTTCGCCGCTTTATTGACAGCAGTGAAAAACGAGTTTTCAATTACACATACGTTTACCAGCCTGGGTAACTTGTCACCACGGTCTCATGTTATTACAACTTTCCTCAAACAATGTCATATGGTTACTTAGTTATGATCACGGTGTTCAGACGTGGGGGACCAGAGTAATTAACGGGGAGTACAACCCTGATAAGTACCTAATGTGCACAGAATTAATCGAAGCTAGATTTGGCCTTGGTGAAAGGACATTGATCATTTCAGTGACATTGGACATCGATGACTTTCTTTGAATGCTGTGTCCAGTGGTTGGAGAATTCCAGAAACCAGAAGAAAAGGTCACAAATGTTTTGTTAAATTTGTACTTTAATTATCTATATCTTCATCATTATTATCATCATTACAGTTTCTGCTACTATTACTTCTATCTTTATCGTTATCATTATCGTTACCGTTGTCAGTGTTATTATCATTCAATGGTAGATCTAAGGGAGGGGCCCTGGGGGGTCCGGGTCCCCCTCCTTATTTTGGGTTTACAAAAAAAAAGAATCGCAGAAGGAAGAAAAGCCAGTAGGGCAAGCGACAAAAAACTGCCCGTCCCCCCTAGATCAAGGTCTAGATCCTCCACTGTCATTATCATTATCATAATCATCTTTATCGTAATGCTACGGCCACAAGGTCAAGTCATTTTGTAATCAATATTGATATCTATTTTATTAAGATTTTCTTTACTCCTAATAAATTGTTAAAATACTTGATGGTTAGCATTGTTTAGTGGCTATATCTGTGGCACAGATCAATTCTAAATAAAAAATCCAAAGTCACAATGTCCATGTATCAAAAAAAAAATCGCACTTCCAATTTAGAATAAATATTTTCAACAGTGAACACAGTTTTGCCACGAGCTAGTGTAGATTGTCGCTCGCAATAAACTGATTAACAAACAGAGAAGGAAATTAAGGAAGGTTAAACACAGTTAGCCATACTGGAAACCTCATTATCAATTTCTGATTCGTTACAACACTGCGCTGTGGACATTTTTAAACACAAAAATTATTAGTTTGCCTTGTAGAGTTTTGTTGGTCCTTTTCTGAATAGTATCCAGTTTGATTTGACGAAAAAAATTTGTCTTAACGCAGAATTTAAATTGTGAAAAGCGTTTTCCCGTGCATTTTAGAAATGAAACAAGTACTTGATTTAAGAACTGTAAACTGAAGTATTAACATCACAATGCATGGCTCATTTCCATCCGCTTGAAATGAGCAATAAAGGTCCACCTTAGCTTATTCGAACAACATATACTGTACTGTATCTTTCGTTCACTGATGTTCGGAAACTAATTTGCAGCGTACAATACTTTACGTATACAAGCTTGCCAATCTGAAACATTACAACAACTTCACATCGATCTTCTACGTCTGCACGATTACTACTTACGGGAATGAATTGTAAATAATCGCCTTTACAATTTTGCCCACGTTTGTTCCTTATTATAACGAAAAGAACAAGGGTTGATTTTCTCTTTTCTTTTTAAATTACTTCACAGGACTGATATCTATCCGCCATAAATGAGAAAAAAATCCTATTTTTAAAACTCCCATTGGAAAAAAAAGGCAAAATGGAACGGAAGAATCGAAACTGCGAAATAAAATTTTAAAAAAAGAACGCCCCAAAACTTACTCGTTCTCATCAACTACTACGGAAATTTGACAGTAGATTCAGCTTTTTTTTAAGGCGTCAAACAGTCCATGGAAATGTAATTTAGATAAATGATAGATAAAGATGTAAAAGCTAGGCATTCAATAATGGGCGGAAATTAATCGAAGCTTCACAACAATAATATTCATGATTGGTCCTTTTCGTATGAGATAAATCTTTAAAAACCCATACACGATTGGATAATCTAACGCTTTGAGTTACACTTCGATCATTCACGTTACTAAATATTAGACAGAACTATCTCGAGTAAATGTCGGAGACGAGTTTACCTGCGAGCAACGTATCATTAGAAGATTGCAATCACCTTAGCTACGCGGCCTGGCAGCCAGGGTACCTCACAGAGGGTGTTTACCACAACCTAATCGCTGTCATCTGCATTAATTCTATCTCAGCCATTGTAGCCATCCTGTCAAATGCATTGGTCGTCGCAGTCATAGCGACGAAACAACAGCTAAGAACTCTCCACAACATTCTCCTTGCGTGTATGGGGGCAACGGATTTATTGGTTGGCATGTTGGTACAACCCTTGTTCGTGGTGTCAGAAATCAAGCACTTGAACGGTTTCGCACCGTTTTGCGCGCTTGACACTGTAGTTTCGGTGACTTCCTATGGATTTTGCCTCGCGTCGGTTGGCCATCTCGTCTTAATCAGCGTCGAACGCTTCGTCTTCATAAAGCTACCCCTCAGATACGAAGAAATTGCCACCGAGAACAGAATGATAGTTGGTGTTCTAACGGTCTGGGTCGTGTCAGCATCGTTTTCAATCACGATGATAATGATGGCCTCTAGGAATGAGTTAGTAGAGAACCAGCCGTTACTAACCATCTTCGAACTGCTGACAGCCTTTATCGTTTTTGTTTACATTGCTGTCATTGTATACACTTGTGTGGTAGTCTTACTGGAGTCTAGAAGGCAAAAGCGCCGTATGCAGACCCACCATTTGTCTGCGGAGGAGACCCAACAACTCCGGAAGAATAACAAGGCAGCTTATACCTTTACAATCATTGTAACAGGGTTACTGTTCTCGTACATGCCCACACTTGTGCTTAATATATACGCAGCTATATCAAACGATTGGGTGGAGCCTCACTTATTGTACGTTATTTCATCATGGTCTTTCACGTCTGTCTTGCTAGGCTCGCTTCTTAACCCCCTGATTTACTGCTGGCGAATTGCAACACTTCGCCGTGCGTTTCTCGACTTCATGCAAATTGGCACGGTACATCCCTCGCAGGACAATCAACCACACCTTTCCAGAGAAGCTTGGACAGCAGCCAATACTAGCTAACCCCTGCCCAAAGGACAAAAAGCACCCTGTCGAAGACATATAATATTCCAACCAAAAAAATAGCATTCCAAAGAAAGCAAATAACGCTTTTCGGTTGTTA